AACCTTAATATTATAGTATATATAATCCTAAAAGTATAGTTTAAAATAACAGTCATTAGATTTAATATTATTAATAAACTTTTTAATTTATTTTATAAAATATGATGTATTAAAAGTGATGATACGGCCTATACGTATTATTAATTTAATAATATCTTCTTATAAAGAAGTAAAGAACAAAAAAAAACACAAAGAACTAAAAACTAAAAAATAGAAAATAATAATAAAAAAATACAAACAAAAAATAAAAAAGAATATATTATAGATAAAAAAATAAAAAATAGCAAACATATATATTATTTCAATAAAATAACCATGTTCATCTCAAATGATCAAAATATAGAGCTTGTCTTAATTTTTTAAAAATTATAAACTATACTAAATATAGAAGTTTCAATTACTAACACTATTTATCTAATTTATTTAATAAAAACCATATAACAGATAAAAAAACCTTCAACTAGGATAATGTAAAGTCATCAGAATCAAGACATTGGTAATTTTAAAACAAAACAGTAATTTTTTGTAATTTACAGAAAACTACAAAATTTTTTTTAAATACAACTAACTACAGAAATAAAATTCTAAAAAAGTCACAGAATTCTAAAAAAACAGCAAAGAATATCAGAATTCTAAAATATTGCGTTACTTGACCACAAATTCACATTAGTGCAAGAAATTTCAAAAAAGTGAACAATAAACCAACGTAAATTACAAGCATGTTTGTCAGAAAGTTACAAAATTCTATAGTTTAAAAAAATTAGATAAACGCATCAAAACCACAGAAAATAGAGAATGGGCATCACATAATTGCACAAATAGTACAGAATCGCAGAATTTGTCTTAAACACATACCCGAATTTATTAACCCTGTACCCGGTGGCATGTGGCCCGCCCGTCGGGTGACCCGGGTGGAAATTTTTTAGACGCAATCGTCAATCCGAAATTTTGGGATAAATATGGAAAAGATGCGTTGAATGCAGGCTATAAAAATTTGCGATTTGAAGAGATTTTTTTGTCAGACAAATATTTGTGGATACGTTTACCCCTGTACGAACAATAATTGTTATTGGATAAGATTTACGGAGTGGTCACACTAGTGTTTATATATGTTGTTACTTGTAGCAATTGCTTAATGATTTTTTCCTCAATGAACTCTTGCGTACGTGTAGTTTATGCATATTTAAGTTTAAATTAAAACAACATTCGCCATGGCAAGACGTCGATCAAGGAGTTTTATTATTGCAGAAAAACCGACCTCTTATGTCAAAAGTCTTGACCAATATGCCTTGCCGAATTTGAATTCGAACTGGGTGTATTATAAAGGTTCTTATTGATTTGGGAGAAAAAAATTTGCTTTTACACATTATTTAATATTTTAACTTAAATATTTTACAGGCGCGTGGTTTATTCATATCATTTTGATTCTCTGTGTTAAGATAATTTCCAGCATAATTCCCTGTATATCTCCAGAGACTAGTTGGACATTCACCAATTTATCGTACATGCTTGTGAGTCCAATTTAAATTATATATCCGAGATCGCATGATGGGATGTATGGATATAGAATCTATTTATTTATTTTATATATATATATATATATATATATATTCCTTTTTTTCGGTTTTTCTTTTTCTTTCCTTATTTTTTCTTGCGAATCATTTGATTAATTAGGGAAGTTTTGTAATGTTCCATTGGGTCAAAGGAGTTCCATTCGACTTTAATTCCGGAGCTTACGATGGCCTGACTTTGTGGGAGCAGATCGATAATGGAGCACAGTTTACACCAGCTAAAAAATATTTAACCGCTGTTCCAATTGGATTGTATGTAAGCAACAATTCTATCTGAGCTTTTACAATAAGATCGAGACCACTAACAGCAATACACCTAAAGATAAATCTCATTGAATTTTGTATTATTCACAGGTTCCTACTTAGTACACATTACACACACTATGATGCGTTCACATTTTTGATTAATTTCACATCTTTATTGGTTGTGCTTATAGCTAAATTACCACAATTACATAAGGTTCGGATATTCGGAATCAATAGGTGGGAAGACGAATAAAGAGCTCACGAAAGGATGGTCTTGGTGACATGAATGCTGTCAATAATGAGATAATTATCGTGAGAATTGAACCGAATATTCTGAAATATTATATGAACAAAGACGTGAATTCAGATTTGCTTGATTATGGTGTCTAAAACGATTTAACACCTGATTTTCTTTATACACTCTGGGATTTATTTTAATCTCTGAAAAAATCAATCATTTTAACATTGTATGTATAAAAACAGTCAACTGAAACAATTTCTTCCCATTAAAATTATTAGATAATGCAAAATTCCTACTCCAGAATCTTTATTTCAAATAATGAAATTTAATGAAAAATGAAGGGGTTTCAAATTTATTTTAATGAACCACTTAAAACGAGGGCCAGTATGTAAAGAGATTTGCATGGTTTTTACTTCGTCCTCTTCTGTCTGTTCATTTTCGCTGATTAGCGATTTACCAAACAAAAGGGGTTTATTTACCCACTTTCTAATAGACTAGCACTTTAAATTATGTGTAATTTTGATAATTTTTGTGCGATGATCAGTCGATCTTGCAAAACATCTGCATATTACAATTATAATAATAAAGTGAAATTTCGATAACTCATCAATATCGATACGAATAGAAAATAAAATCGTATTGATGTAATTAAAAAAACTATAAAGAGTTAGACCATATACCGAAATCTCATTTCCTAAAAAATGTTATAACCCGACATGGAGATAATAGTAATACATGTTGGTATGATACGTATTAGGAAGCGAAACGTATCAATATATTGTGCACTAAATTTAGTGATGTGAAATCCTCAATATTTATTTCTTGTTTCTGCATTACCCAATGATGTGCAGTTCCGAGAAAATGAAACAATAACGTAACAGTGAGATAGTTGATCATTCCTCTTTTAAGAAATCTACTTTAGCACGGATTATGAAAAAAAAAATATATGCATATATAATAAATAAATAAATGCAAAATTATGTTTTAAACTTGTGCTATACCAATATTTTTTGCATTAATAGTTACGTAGATTATTTTCCGCCAATAGTTGCGTGAGAATGAATCATTTCTACCAACTACAATTACTATCCTGTGAAACAAAACTTAACATAAATGCTATTGGGGTGAATTGTCAAGAAAGGCATCGAAGATGGTTGTACTCTTTCCTTATCGCGATTTTATAAATTTGTCACTCTAAATAACAATCTATATAAATGAAATTCATTGAAAATTTTTTTCCCTAATTCCTCAAACGCATATATATAACCCCATCAATTTCTTACATTAATTCCCTTTCAATTTATCTGTTATCCCATTAAAACCGAATTTTTTAATAATACTTTTTTGATTATACTGATTTCTAGAGATATATTAAACAGCCTTCATGTTGAATACATTTTTTGTAACATTAACTACAAACTTGTTAATACCAAGTTTTTGTATTACTTTATCCATTCTTTTTGTATATAACATAAAGAAGCCAGTTCGCAGCCAAACATGTAAAACTATTTCGACTGTTGACTCTTACTTTCAATATTTTAAAGAGAGAATTATTTCTAGGTCATGGGAACCATTGCTTCACTTTGGTATTTATTATCCCTGTTATCATTAGGCTTCCGCATGAGCAGGGTAGGGTCGGTAGCAGCAGTATCCTATCCTTACCCGTTTGTGTAAGGGCACAATTTCCAATCCCTTACTTTTACCCTAGGGCCTGGAAATCGACTCTCTAGCTCGGCTCTCGTGGACTTATCCACGGCAGCCCATGCTGAGAGCTAGTCGCACATGAGCTTGGGACGGGTAGTAGCAGTACCTTAACCTCATCCATTTGTGTAATGGCATAACTTTCAAGTCCTTGCCCTTACCCTTACCTTAAGGCCTAAAAATTAATGCCTTAGCCCATTTCTTGTGCCTACCCGCGGGTACCCATTGGTAGCCCAAGCCAATGCGGAGGCCTATCCGTTATTATTATTTATTTTTTCAATCGTCTGACAACATTCATCTTTCAAAATTGCTGTCGATTGTGTAGCACGAAATACTATCTTGTCCCTGATGTCCAAAATCGACTTTGGCTATCTTCGTGTTTTAACTAAAGATTGTATCTACGAATTCGGTCCAAAAGATTCAACGTTACGAGTTAATATCAAAATCGTCAATGATTCTTTTTGGGTACGATTGCTACTCCTGGGTGATCTAGTGAGTCTTTCAACATTCAATTCGGCCATCAGATCTATTACATGTGTATTCGAATTTGTATTACTGTCCACAAATGTTAATGAAATCGTATCACGTGGTAACACATATAATCTGAACTATATCGGGATGATCATTTTGTGGGAATTCCAAAAAATCGGTTCATATTTGAGAACCTTCCTTATTTGCTTAGATACACGCCACTTTCATCAAATGTCATAACGAATGCTGTTCATTATTTCGTTTCTCTTAATGATTAATAGGGTTTTGCCGAAGCGTATATGATTGGCGATGTGACTTGTGATGATCTACCAACTCTTATCAAAGTACGTGTCAAATGTTAATTATTTCAATTAGAGTTCCTATCCGTTTATCCATTTATCTATTGGATGTCCGTTTTACTATTGATATTTGGATATCAATAGTAAATGGATATCTGGATATGGATAAATGGATGACAGATTGGAACTCTAATTTCAATAAATATTTAATTTGTTCCTAATAATCTATTATCTATCATAGATTTTCGTGGCAAACCGTCCTCATCTTGATGACTTATCAAGTGTTCCCTCTTATATATTTAACGCAATCAATTACATAATGAATTCACGATTTGCAAACACGATTTCAAATGCAATAAATAACATATCAGCTCATTATGACATTTCAAACGAGATGTTTGCTAGTTTCCTTAGTAGTGATATGACTTATTCGAGTGCTGTTTTTGAAAACGAGGATGAAACTTTGGAAAATGCTCAATATCGTAAGTTAAGAATGATAATCAAGAAAGCAAAGATTTGCAAAGATGATCATTTGTTGGAAATTGGAAGTGGATGGGGTTCTCTAGCCATTGAAGTATGTATATTTTACGTGTAGTTTGTCAATTTGATCTATATATTAATACTTTCTTTTTATTATCGCCTACTTAATGTTAATAATTTAGGCCGTAAAATTAACTGGCTGTCGAGTAACAACTCTCACACTTTCAATTGAGCAAAAAAACTTGGCCGAAAAACGTATTACAGAAGCCGGCTTATCTTCAAGCATTGATGTATTACTTTGTGATTATCGTAATTTGCCAGCATCACATCAATATGATAAAATTATAAGTATAGAAATGATTGAAGCTGTTGGACCTGAGTATTTAACAACATATTTTGAGTGTTGTGAAAAATTCTTGAAAGAAAAGGATGGTATTGGTGTATTTCAAGTTATTACAATGCCGGAAACTAGGTACGATAGGTATTGTAGAGAAGTTGACTTTATTAGAAAGTATATTTTTCCAGGTAAGTTATTGTGTATTATTAGTAATGTGCTGAATGTCATTTTTCACTCATTAAAATACTTTCTTTTTAAAGGTGGTCACTGTCCTACAGTGACAAGTTTAGTTCAAGCGATTCACAAGGGTTCTCGTGGTCGTCTTATAGTTGATGATATAGAAAACATTGGTCCTCATTATGCACGTACTTTAAGACTTTGGCGCATGAAATTCTTAGAAGTTTTTGAAGGACATATTAGACCTGCATTAATACATAATTGGCCAGAAATGACGAATGATGAAATAGAAATATTCAAACGGAAATGGGAATTTTATTTCGCTTATTGTGAAGGTGGATTTGTTTGCAGAATTTTAGGAAATGTGCAAGTAGTTGTTACCAGGGAGGGTAATAAAGCTTTCCTGGAAAGAATACCTCTATAAGAATTATTATGATGTAATAGTTTTTGTATTATGTGGATTTTATGTAAATAATGCTTTTCAGAAAAGAATACCTCTATAAGAATTATTATCATAGTTTTTGTATCATGGTGGATGCCAAAATTACATTAATTAATAAATATGTAAAACAAAAAAATTATATTACAAAAAAACATTTATAATTTTTATTTATATTTTTCAAATTTCAAAAAAGCCTTTCAGAAGAAATGATCTAATTATTAGTTATTCATTTTTTTAATTTAATAAAAATTGCTTTTGAGATTTTTTCCTATCTAATTATAGTGATTTAAACATTAAAATTAATTTTGTTAGAATAAAGGTATTACTAGAGTTTGGAATTTAAAATAATTATTATATGTACTTAGGAAAGCGTTACTTATTATATAACTGTAGCCTTATATAGAAATGTTAATTGATTATGTTTTATATTCCAGAGTATAGATGCTAATAAAACTAGTAAAACTCTTGGTAAATGATGATGAAATTGGTAAAATTAGTAAAATTTAATTTAGCAGCCAATTAGATTTTAGATAGTTACCAGTTTCATTAGCCTTATTTAGTTTTATTAGCATTTATACTTCAGAGTCAATTTTTTGACAATTATTATTATTTTTTTTCTTTAAGCAGTCATGCTAGTACTTTATTAAGATTTTAAAATTATATTTGCAATTACATAAATGGCCTTAAAGGGATATGGTGACTTAGTAAAATGGTTAGGTTGTCAACCTTCCAAGTGATAGGTTGGGTGTTCAAATCCCATCGATGGTAAAAATTTGGATAATTACCTATATAATATTTGTATTACAGCAACTGCTATTAACAATTGGATTAAGATACTTGTAATGGCAGTCACATCAGTATAACTGACAAGTCATAAAGTATCTGTATAACTTGTTATATAGAGAAATGCAAACTGACAAATCAGGTGATGCAAACACTAGATAAGTTCTTGTAGTCATGTAAATCTATTGAAATTAGATAACAAGAAGTCTATTTGAGAAGATTCAAATAGTAAGATAGTTATATTTTTAATAGTTTTACTGTAAAGTCTAGTTTAGTAAAATGGAAATCAAGATCATAGTACCTAGTTGTAGTAGTTAAATAGTCAAAAATCTTTGAGTTGAAAGTCTTGAAGATACTACCAACTAGGTCACTAGAATGAACTGAAAAAAAAGAATATTGGGTCAACCTAATATACTGATAGACTAGTTATAATCTTATATAATTTATCTGAATTGGAAG